TGTTAAATAATTTAATGCTAAAATTTTAATTGAGTGTACTCAGAAAAATTATATAAAATAATGTGGGTGTCCGAGGAATGTATGGTTTCTGAGAAAATATAAAATAGTGGAGAAAACAGACGTTGACCACAATATTAATTAATAATATACATGGTATTCATGAAATTAATATATACGTGAGTGATAAGTCAATCAGAAAATGCTAAATAAAAGTACCCCACCAAATTGCAACCTGTAGAATGAACTCAAAATCTGGATTTGATCTTTATGGATTTTACAATTGGCACTTTGATTTTGATGGAAGCTGTTTTTCCTTTGAGTGCTTGAATTACATAATTTTGAGTTTTGGACCTTTGGGAGCATGGAAATGGAAATAAAACATTATGAAATTAAAAACATTTAAGAAAAATTAGTTTTTAAAAATTGTTTTATTTTTTCCTATATGTGAACCATACAATAAATAGTTACTTTTTTTTTTCTATTAAAATATCTCTCTTCTCTTCTGAAAACTAAATAATGATTAAGTGTATTATTTATTTAATCTTCTTTCTTCTTTCCTTTATAAAATGTCTTATGTACTCTATTTTGATAAATTCGTAAATTAATTGGCTTGAGATTGTTTTAGTTTAATCTATGATTAATTTTGAATTTAAATCTTAAATATGTAATTATATTAAATATTTTTAAAAAATAATTTTATCCCTCGTAATGATTCAACAAAACTCTAAGTCCTAAGATTAAAACAACTTTTGACTATCATCTTTCTCAATCATCTTACACTCAGAAAAACCCAAGCAATAACCCTACACTTTCTAATTAATTGTTGTTTAGTCTAAAATTGAGTGGAGTTGTTCAAAGTAAATCAATTTAATTTACTTAATTATGTCAACTAACCATATATTATTATTAGAAAATTCAATTTATATGAACTACCTCAACAAGTGGTAAAATTTACTCAATTCAATCTAACTTACCATAAATTATAAACACGTAAGAGGTTTAAATATATATAAATAGATTTGGAAAACTAAAATGCAAAGAAACATGAATATTTCTCGAGTACCTTGTAAACCACAGTCCGTACAGATTTTTTTTTTTAATTTTGATTTTTGGGCTTATTTTACTTTTTAAATATCTATAACGAAAATATTAATTTTTAAGTTTTCAATAAATATGTTTTAATCATAATTTATTTTCAATAAAAATGAAAATAGGAAAAATCAAATAGCCACTAATATTTCATGATTAAGTATTCTATACGTATTGGATGATCTTTAAATGTCAATCTTTGAGACTTTGAATAATTGAATTATGGATTCTAGACGCTGGATGACTTTTTTAACGTTGAAATGTTGACATATGAGAGAGGCTTCAATTAGAAGATCCAATAAATGATAAATATTAAATAGTGACACAAAAGTTAAATGAAAAAAAAAATATAATTAAAGAGAACATCATATTAAGGATGTGACGTGGGGTGAGAATGGTATACATAATATTACCAACTTTCTGCTCCAACTACAAATTGGTCACTGTAGTCTCATTTATTATCACTACAACAAAATAGACTTTTAGTGGCATTTAATATGAGTTTTAGTAGCAATAAAAATTGTTACAAAATCTTTTACCGACATTTTCACATTAGCCATTATATGCAGTATCGCTAAAATATTTAGCGGCAATTATTCAAAATGCTGGTAAAAACTCTTATAATGGTTGAAAAAAGTGTATATTATTTTCTGATCAATAGTCGACCCCCTTAAGTTTAAGGATTATTGAGTTTGATAATAGTGAGTAATCTCATACTAATTTTGAATAATAAGTTATAGGTCTAACTCAATCCTACATAACAAACTTGTAAGGTGAGAGTTATTATTCATTTATATACTCTTTAATTATCTTATTTCTAGTCGATGTGGGACTAAAGTTTTTCTTAATAAATAATTGTCGCTAATAGTAAATTTTGGTATGATATAAATATATTTTTAGTGACAATTATATATTAGTCGCTAATACTTTTATTAAATAATAAAATAAAGACAATTAATTTATTACCGGTAAATAATTGTCGGTAAAAATAAATTTTGTTGTAGTGTATATCTTTGAACTCTCATAACCTAACCACTATTATTCCACTACTTGAATTCTTGCAATAAAAGTAAATATATTAGCAACACATGCTTGTAGGACAAAATATGTTAACATCATTTAATTATATTAATTTTAATTAAAAATATTGTTTTTATACTACTTTTTATTGATTAAGAGTCATTAAAAATATGAAGTTACTTCTATATCATTTTCAAGAAATTCCAACTAATGAAAAAAGTGAATGTAAAGAGTGTGTACATAAGTTTTTTCCCATAAAAGAATATCTCATCCTGGAGTATTTACTTTATTAGAAGTGAAATAGACTTTTTTTTTTTATGTAAATCATATATACTCTCAATCATAATTATTATATACCATGGTTTACACATAAATAGTGTTGAATAAAAAATTGTAATCTTATGGTTTATTTTTAAGCATATTTAGCAACTCTATGAACATCATCACCAATGTAGAATCAGTAACATATTTATACAAATTTTACCCCCACACACGCCTTTCACAGATTATTAATTATACAAGAAATTAGATAAAGAAGGTTAAAAGAAAATTGTTATTTAATAATAAATCTTCACTCCTTTAGGACCAAACAAGTCAATGAGGCCCAGTTTCGTCCCTACCCACTATTACATGGGCTTAAAGCTTACGCAAAAAATGTTTTCTTGGTCTTCAAAGATAAAGCCCAAAATGACATTGATCAATAATAAATTAAATCCTATCTTTTTAACTAGTATTTTAGATGGTGTAAAAAAAATATTTTAGTCTGTACAATATTAATGATACAATTTTATTTTCTATGATAAAAATTATAATAAATAAATAATTTTTATATGAAATCTATATTATAATTAAAATTTATAATAACTAAAGTTTGACTATATAAATTATTTTTATCTATTGACAATTGTTTTCAAAAGTATTGAACTTGAATTTTTTAAATAAGAATAATAAATTAAAAGTTTCTTAAAAATACTATTCTTATCATATGTAAGTTTGATTCTTTTTGTTTGATAAAAGCTAGAGTATCATTTGCAATGTTTTGAAGTTATAAGGGTGTTAATAGGTTGGTTTGGTTTGTTTTTAGAGGAAAAACTTATTTAATAGATTTTATAATTTTATTTTGCCAAATCCAAAACCAAGCTAACTCATTCTGAATTGAGTTGGATCGGATTGATTTGTCAAATTTTACATTTTATTTTAAAAGATTGGAGAAGAAATTCAAATAGGTTTATTTGGTAACTATGCATTTAACAAGCTAAGTTGGTCATAATCAATTGCTAATTCAAGACCAATTAGTTTGAATTCGATTGTAATAGTTCAGCTGCTACAGCATGTTAGGTATCCAAGTTGCATAGATTACATTACTTGAATAAATATATATTAAATCTTTTATCAATAATAAACTAGCTTTCATTTTTTGATTTGTTATATATATATATATATATATAAACTTGCACGTTACGCCTG